CCCAGGTGCAGGTGGCGGGTTCGAATGGGATCACGACTTTCCTCGGGCGCCGGCGAAAGGAGCCTTGGCCACCACCTTGGGTCCGGCCGTGCTCTCCCCTGCTGCGTCCCCCACACCGGCCACAACCGTACCCTTCTCGCGCTTCACCGTGTCGCCTGCGCCTGCGTCCCGCTTCTCCATCACTCACGTGTCGGACTCAGACGCCCAGTCCGTGGGAGGTGAGGCGCGGAGGGCCGGCATGGGGAAACTGAGGCTGGCGAGGTCAGGCCCCTTGCCCAGGGCCTCATACCTGCCCAGCCCTGTCTGCCCTCGTCCCTTGGCCGTGGCCGGTTCCGCCCACCGCCGTCCTGTTTCTCACGCTGGCTAACCCCCACCCCTAGAACCCTTGCCTCCGGAGTCTGGTGGTTTCTCTCGCTCAGGGCTCACCCCTGCTGGTGCGTGTGCCGAAGCCTCTGCAGGCTACCTGTTGAGGGCACAGGACCTTGGCACTCAGGTGGGGTGCTGCTTGGAAGAGGGGCTGCACTCCCCCCACGCCAGCTGTGTTCCAGACCACAGCCTGAGCTCTCCTTACGCCCGTGCACAATGTCTGACAAACTCCATGGGGTCCTGCTGGGTGGTCCTCAAAGTCTTCTTCCTCCAGGAAGCCTGCCTGCCCCTCACCCTACCCAAGGCAGACCTAGTCCCCTCTCTGCCTGAATTCTGGAAGGATGGGCTTGTCATCCTCACCTGGCACAGACGAGCCAGTTACTGCATGCTATTGGCCAGCCGCGTGCTCTCCAGGCCCCAATTCCCCCACCAGTGAAAGTGCTTGGTCAGGCAGAAGCAGTGGGAAAAGAAACTCATTTTCCACGGAGACACTGCTGGACCCACTGGTGGCCCTATGGGCACCATGGGAAGAGGAAATGGGCCCATATGCTCACATTGCACCCCCTCTTTGCTAGGCCCAGCAGCAAGCACCGGAGGCAAGTACACTGAGGCTTGAGGCCCAGGCAGCTCCATCCTGCAGAGGCTAGCGTCACTGGAGCACTTGCTGCCCTGTCCCAGGCAGCAAGAACGGTGACCAGGAATGAGTGGGGACCGCAGTCCTGGTGGCAGATCTGGGTCATGCCACCCCACACGGCATCCTGGAGAAGCAGGTGGACAGGATGTCCCTCTCCAGCCCTGGACAGTAGACTGTGCATGATGCCTGTGTCACCATAGGGGCAGAATGTGTCCTGGACACTAGGGCTTGCTGTCGGCCCCCCAGGATGGCCTGGCCTGAGGACTGTGGGTGTCTGTAAATTCTACATCCCTGAGTCTGGCCTGTTCCAACCCTGCAGCCGCCTTTTCGCTCTGGCTGCTGCCTTCGGACTGCTCGGCCTCAGGCCGGGAGACCTGCCCCTGGGTGTGGGCCTGCATGCCGTGCCTGGCCAGGTCTCTCCACGTGTTCACGGGACACTCATGTCCTTGGCTGGGTGAGGCACGGGCCCTCAGCTGGCCATCAGACCTGCCCCTAGGCCTCTCCTGGGTCTGGGTTTGTGTGGTGCCAGGAGAGGCACCTGGGCTAATGTCTCCACGCCCTCACCTGACTCTATGGCTGATTTCCCTTCACTGCCTCCCCTGGAAGCCCCTCTGCACAGCGCCTGGCAGCTCCTGCCTGGGTTCTGATGACCCTGGCAACTGTAGGCACCCAGAGGGCTTCCAGACTGTGCCCAGCCGCCCTGGCCCTGTTCTCATGGTGTCCCCAGCAGGGTAGTGCCCTGTCCTGTGCCTGGCACCAAAGGAGAGTGGGAGCCACACCCCACAGGCAGCACTGGGGCTCCTGCCTACACAGGGGACGATGGGGTGCTGGGAAGGGTGGGGCTGGGCAGCGCAGGGACTATTTTTGTAACAGCTATTGCTGGAATGAATAGAAATGGAGTGATTCTAAGTTATTGTTGCCAAAGAGATGTAAAGTTTATTGTTGCTCTGGGGGGTGGGGGATACTTGGTTTTGTTTTGTGTTTTTTGTTAGTTTGAGGCTTAGGACGCTGGTGCAATGATTTTGTGTTTGTTTTTTTAAGAGAAACCAAGCTACAAAAGGAAAAAAGTTCTTGTGCTCAGCATGTTTTCTTTTGGGGTCTGTATAAAGCCTTGTGTTGAGGGATCAATGCTGGGGCGGGGCCCAGTTGCCAGCTCTGCCTAGGGACAATAGAGAGGTTGGTTCTTCTCCCATCCTGCTAACCTCACTCTGGTGATCTGCTTCTGCTGTGCGTGGGCAGGGAGATACCTGGGACACCCTCTTCCTGCTCCAGAAGCTGGCCCTGCCCAGGGTAGGGTGAAAAGGGTGGATAGGCCCATAACCCATAGGTAACTCTTGTCCTTCCCTGGCCAGTGCCTGTCCAGCCTAGCAGTCTAGCAGTGGGCGGAGACTGGAGGAATTGGGTAGCCTGTGTTCCCCGCTGTCCTGGCCTTGTGTCCAGCCCTGTGCCCCAACCAGAGCTCCATGTGCTCAGCCTCCTGAGCAGGGTGTGGGCAGGTGGTTCAGAGGCTCCAGAGCCCTCCTGGGAAGGGTCTGTGAGAACTGGACTTCTTTCCAGACAAGGAACGCTGTAACCAACACAAGTCACATGGCACTACATCCAAAGACAGCACAAAGCAGACTTGGAAATACAAATTTTAAAGTCTTGTATTTGAGCAGCTGACTGGCCCCCTGCAGGAAACAGCCTGAGGGGGGGCACCCAAGAGCCAGGGGCAGAGTCCAGGAGCAGAATCCCTACCGGCCAGCATGCACACAGCCAATGACCCCAACTACTGCTATGGTGGCAAGGAGACAGTGTCTGCCAAGGCAGGAGTGTGCAGGAGTTCCACAGAGCATGGGGTGGGCCCAGGCCTGGATCTTGGCATAGCAGCAGGACCTACAGGAAGTTACGTGATCAGAACAAATTACTCTTCAAGTGAGAGGGGCCCTCACCCCTCAGGCTACAGATCACGCTTTGCACAGATGTGGTAGTTCATTTATTGACTAGACACACAGGAGCGTGTACATGAGCTCCCTTCTAGCCACTGGATGATGGGAGTGTCTTCCTGTGCTCAAGGCTTCAGGGGCCAGGACCAGGGGCCTCTACCTTCAGGGAGCTGGCTCTCTGCCAAGGCGGCACAGCCAGCAGGGCTTGGTAGCTTCCTTGAGGCAGCTGGGATACAGCCCAGGGCTGGCTGACGTGCATAGGGTGACACCAAGAAGTGGGAGGGCCAGATACTTGTCCTCTAACCATGAAGATGCAGGTGGGCCCAGGGTGGCACTGTAGATGTGGCCATCAGCTGAGGAGTGGGGCTGACCTGTCGTTCGTCACTGTTGGCTTTAGCTGCACATTGGCGAAGGGGTTCCTGTGGAGAGAACCAGAAGTTTCAGGTTGGGACAGGTGCTGTGGACAGGGTGTACCATGCGGGCTGTCCTGGGACCCTCAGTGTGGGACTCTTGACAGCCCAGCCTAGAGCTGATGATGGGGGCAGGACCGGGGCTGGACCAGGTGCTGTCTGCAAGGCCCACTGGCCCCCAGTATGGCTACTGTCTGCTTACCCCACATGCTCTGGGCAGGCAGGGCACCCTCACTTGGAACTGGGGATGGTGGGATCCAGCTGTACCCCTCCCAGCTCTGTGCTGTGGGGAGGGAACCATTTCCTTCTCAGAACTTGGACAGCCCTGGGGAGGACCCGTATCAGTTTGGTGAACCCCACCACCAGGCCCAGCCCTAACAATGGAGGAGCCAGTGGCCTCTCAAGAAACGGCATGGCTCAGCAGACAGTACGAGCCAGCCCACACATGCAGGGCATCCAGGCACGCCAAGGACACTCAGACAGACAGGGTGCACGCGCAGACTGGGGTGAACACCGTGGCCTCTGCAGAGGGCTGACCCAAGGGCAGTTTCCCTGCGGAAGACACAGCGCTGCCGCCTCCCAGGAAAGCACACCCTCCCCTGGCACAGCTGATGAACAGAGAGGACTCGAGAGACAAGAAGTGGAAATGGAACGAGATGAGCACAGACGGGGGTGGCCCTGACCTCGTCCTCACGGAGCCTCTCCTCCTGCACTGTTGGGCTTGGGAGGACCCACCCAGTGGGGACACCAGGCAGCTCCATGAAGGACAGCACAGATGGCGTGTGTACACGGGGACTCGAGCACAGGACCGTACTCCAGGGAAAGCAGGCTCGGTGCTGGAGCTGTTACCTGGAAGAGGGGTCACCTTGGGCCCGGCTGGGTCCTCAAGCCTGGTGGGCCAGCGGCAGGCACTCCATCCAGCGTGCCCCAAAAGACCCACGTGGGCAGGAGCATCACCCCATGTTTTCCTGAGGACCCTGTGTTTTCTAAAATCTGAGACACTTTGTGAGGTTGGCAAAGTAGACTGGCAGATCCATGCGGTCTTCTCCCTCCAGAACCTGTCTGCATGTCTTGCGGCTTCACGGCTGGCCACCTGTGGGCTACTGCATCTGGGATTAGTCACTGTGACTCCACCTGCAGCATCAGGGTCTGCCCCATTCCCTGGCTCTTGTCTGCACAGGTAAGCTTCGGGCCCTCCTTTCCTGGCCAGTAGGTGGCGCCAGGGGCACAAAGGTGAGGATCCTGCTGTCATCAGCAAGGGCCACCAGCTGCAGGCCCTGGGGGTACAGGCCTGCCTCCTCAGGCTCCTAGAAGGTGCTGAAGCCCAGGCTTAGGGCAGCCGGTCTTGGGGAGGTTTGGAATGGGGATAGGTCTTCCCACGAAGGGTCTGAGGAACAGCAGAGTGAAGAGCAGACCTGCCTGGTACCAGGGTGGGAGGCCAATTCCAGACCAAGGGTGGAGTGGCCAAGCATTCTGCAGGACGGACCTACTTCCTCAGCTTCGACTCGCACTCCAGCTCTCACCGAAAGGCTTGAGTCACCAGCTAGGACCATGCAGAAGCGCAGGCCTGCGTACTCTGACCACATGTTCTTTTTTCCAACCCCAGCATCAACATGGTGGGGCCATTCAGAGCACTGAGTTCTGAGCAGATGGGCGCTTGGGATCCCAAATGTGGTTGGACCAGTCCGATGAGGTGGGAGGTGGCAAGGCCTCTCTACCTGCACACAGCCAGACATGGGGCAATGGCTCCTTGAGACTGCAGCCACACCCAGAAGAGGGGCCAGGCAGCCACGGCCTCCTGGAACAGTCTGAGAGCAGGTGCCTGTGAGAGATTCCAAGATCTCACTGTGTGACCTTGAAGGAGTTAAGGCTCAACGCTGAGGTGGCAAAAAAACCAGATTTGGAGCCTGAAGTTATTGCAGTCTTCCTCTGTGTGTGCCTGCCAGGCACGTCATGTTTCCTTCTGAGCACACCATTCACCAGATGAGCAGCAAACTTCCAAGGGACTGGACCAGCACGTGGCATGCCCAGCAAAGAAATGCCACCAGGAAGTGCCCAGGAGTGGAGGACCCAGAGACAAAACATGCTGGAGGGTGGGGCAAGCTGGCCTCGGGATATAGGAGTACGGCGGCTTTGATGCATAGAACAGCATCCTGTCCCAGCACAGACTGGGGCTCTGGGGCCAGATGTGACTTAGAGGCTAGGCTGGGGATACTGCCAGGGCAGAAGCAGGTCAGGCGACCCTAGGACCAACTCAGCCAAGAGGACAAGACCAGGGAGGAAGACCTCAGCCCTGTGGGCAGTGGTCCATGGGGGACACTGACCAGAAGCCTGGACGAATCGGACTCCCCTGCAGTCAGTCCAGCCTGTCTTCCAGTCTCAGCACTTAAGGACACTGTGGGCTTTAGGGCACTGTTTTCTGAGCAGCCACTTGAATGAGAAGCAGGGTGTCTGAGAAAGCTCATCACAGATTCTCTGGCGCCTTCAGGGGACACCAGGGCAGGATCAGGCTGTGGCCCATTTTCTCCCCTGAAGTGGTTTCTGGCATCCTCAGAGCAGGGTGCCCCGGGATCAGGGGTGGGCCATGGGCCTCTGCCGTCCAGCAGTGTGGGTTCTGGGCTGGCACCAGCCCCTCTCCCTGGGCCTACCTTTGGGGTGAAGCAAGACAGAGGATGCAGGGGACGCACCTACTAAGCAACCATAGGTGGTTTTTGGCCACCTGTCCAGGTCAGCTGAGGCCAGCCAGCTGTGTGGCCAAGAGGTGTGGTGCCAGGCCATCTCATCAGCAGTACCCGAGTACCCCACTGTCTGTCTAGCCCAACAGACGCCTTCTTGAACCTTCACCCCTCCTGGGCCTGCAGGGGAGGACGGCATGGCTCAGAGGGACCCAGGGACAGCACTGTGGGGGACTCTGAGGAGGGGCTGGGATGCCAGCTCTCAGTGAGCTCCTTGGGTGCAGAGATGGAGGTGGCACAAGCTGGCCTGCCCAGGGTCAGCCAAGGACATTTATATTCCGTCCTGAAACTTAAGCATTTTCCCACAGAACTTCTTACCATTCGTGCTATAGCTCCCACATAAAGGCAAGCACAGAGGAGCAAGGGTCCAGGATCTGCCTGAGTAGACGGGCTGCCTGCACAGACATGGCAACCATGGTCCTCTGTCAGGGATGTGGGTCCTGACTTCCCAGGCCGCTCTCGAGATAGGTGTCAGGGAGGGCCCTATGTGCAGCAGTAGAAGGGTGCTCCTGGGCAGCTGAGATGGTGTCTTGGGACCGTGGGAGATGTGAGGGGACTCAGAAAAGGTAAGATCAGAAGGTAACGGGCCTGATTCACCACCCCTGGGACCGGGACCCTGACCCTGACCCCAGCCCTCTCCCCCCAGCTAGGATACTCACCAGGCCGGTTCAAACAACCGCACCCAGAGGACCACCCACACCGGTGCTGCAGAGTCAGGGGAGCGGCCTGGCCCCAGCTGCCTGCCAGGGTAACCCTTTGACGGTAGCCGAAGCAGCAGGGACAGGAAAAGACAAGCAGAGGCCAGGCCAACCCCACACCCCGCAGCAAGGGCAGTGATGGCGAAGATAGGCCGAACCACCTCCAGGCTGAAGGAAGGAGCCCCACAAGCCCAAGGAGGGAATCACTGGAAGGGAGGATGCCCAGAACATGGCCAGGGTTCTGTCCAGAGCCACTGCAGATGCACACGGGCACAAGAAGACCAGGGCAACTTACTAACTAGTCAGGGCGGCTCAAAATCTGGCCACTTCCACATTGGCACTGCAAAGAAACACAAGGCTGGTTGGTGGAGCTGAGGGCTGGGAGGAGGGAGTCTGGATTCTGCAGGGAGGGTGGGTCAATGGGGTCAGTGCAGGCTGCCAACGGGGCCCAGAGCAGGGTGTCCCTGGCTCCCTCGATCTACATCAGGCCCCGAGAGGTGCTCCTTTCTCACTGAGGGCATGGGCCACCCCAGGCGCCATCAGTGAGCAAGGTGAAGGCCCAGCTGGGCCCACACTGCCCTCAAGTCTAGGTCATCCCAGCCTGTGATCCAGGTGCTCTGCAGAAACTGACCATGGGCCACAGAGGCGTGGCCTGTTCACACAGCCTGGACCTGTGCCTGGGACTGGAAGGAGGCTCCCAACCCAACTGGATGCAATAAATAAAACTTTTATTCAAACAGTTAACTGCAGTACAGGGCACAATTCAGGTTAAAAAAAGAAAAAGGAAAGGAAAAAGGAAAAAAATATTTTCAGCACTTTACATCTTCATACAAGTTTTGCTGTTTTGTGTCTACATTCATCCATTGCTCATGGAATCCCCTGGATTTGAAATCTTTTAGCAAAGTTAGAACAGCACAGAAGGTTCTTTACACAGGTCCAGGCTCTGGCTATGTTTCCTTAAATATAAAACAGGGTCAGCCTGTGCCTGAGCCACTGCTCGCAACACTACCAGCTGCGTCCCAGTCCTGGCCTGGCAGGCAGGCGTGCGTGAGTTTGCTAAACCATATCAGAAAGAGGTGCACCCACAGCTTCTCAAGGGGCTCCGCCAGCTGCCGGGCTAACCTGGCCGCACCTCAGCCTGGCTGCCCAGAATTCAGTGTGTGAAGAGACAAAACCAGTAGCCACTGAGTCCAGTGTGCTTGTTTCGAAAGTCACCAAGACACACAAAAAGACGAGCGCATTTAGGAGGACCGGGGCCAGGACTGCCTGCCCGCTGGAGGGAGACACAGGGCCTGACCAGGCTTGCGCACCCTGCCCCTGCAGCCCAGCAGCCCAGGCGGTCACAACTCCCTCAAAAGGCTGGTTAAAGAAACAATTTCCAAAAACCATGTGGGGGGTGGTCTCTGGAGGTCTTTGGGATGTCCGCATGTGGCCGGGTAGCGCCTGCTCCCGACCCCTGCCTGCCAGTGCACTACATGAGGTGACACCAGTCCCGCTGTGGAGATGCTGCGCTTGGCTCTGCTTGGCTCTACGCGCACCTGTCCAGCAGTGCCACCGAGGAGAGGCCTGGGGCCTGGCCTGGCGGGCTGGGTGGGCCTGGACGGGGGGGTGCAGCCTCCCTCACAGGAGTGGCCAGCGTCCTCAGGAGGCGCCCCGGCCTTGTCATGAGCCCCTTTTCTCCATGTGGCCCTTGAGAGGGGCCTGAGCCGCTTCCTCCCCTGTCCTAGAAGACGCCGGGGTCATATGCAGAGTAACAGTACGTACACCAGAGTCCATGCATATCTATTTTTGTTTTTCAGGAAAAAAGGTCCTTTTTCCTGTTTTTTCATCTTTTTTTTTTTTTTTTTTTTTTTTTTTTTTTTGTTAAGATTTTTCTTTTTCTTCAAACTCTAGACCTGGCTCGTGGTGAGCCTTAGAAAAGGGGTGTGCATCACGAACATCGTGGGGCCAGGACAGTGCCCGGCAGGCCCCACCTGGCACTTTCTGCTTGAGGCTGGGGACACATGGGAGGCAAAGAGGGTGAGCACAGGGGGCGCAGGGAGCAGCACCATGGACCCTGGGGGATCACAGAGTCTGGGGTCACCAACCAAAAGGCGGGGTCAGGTAGGAAAGAAAACCCGAGAACAAACCAACGAGAGCTGAGAAGGGAAACAGGGAGGAGCTCTTCAGAGCAGCTGCCGCGGTCAGCGTCCTCACACTGTGGACACCAGTGTGCCACTGCCGCTGTGAAACAAAAGCACAGGACAGCTGCCCAGGTGCCCCTTGGGCCAGCAGCAGGCCACCTGGCCTCAGGAGCGGGGGATGGAGAAGCCAGGGCAGCTCAGGCCCAGGCTGGGGCAGAGGCAGGAGTGGCCCTACCTGGTTCTAGGCAGGCAAGACTAAGAGGCTCAACCCTCCCCAACCCTGTCCTTGTAGCCGGGGGTGGACAGAGTGGCCTGGATGCCAGGGAAGAGGATCAGGGCCAAGGAGGTTCCTGAGCACAGCAGGAAAGAATGGGAAGCCCAGGAGGGCTGTGCACTCAGGGATTCCCAGGATTCCCCAAAGGAAGAACCACCAGCTGGCTTCTAGGTCCCAAAGGTGAGGGCTACCCCCAAGTCCCTGCACCCCCTAACCCACAGCCCCAAAGATGAGTCCAGAGGCCCTTACCTGCTCACAGACCGTGTTCCGTAGTCCTCCAGACCCTGGGGGTGAAGGCACAGCATCAGGCTGGGGCCCATGGAACTGAGGCTGAGCCCCCACCCTGCACTCTGGCACTGTCCACAGGGGTGACCCAGACACGGGTTCAGACGGCTCCTCACGAAGGCCGCTTCCCCATTCTCACCCGCCTTGTCTGGGCACAGTGGCTGACCTGGCATCCCCTGGTGACCTCCCAAAGTAATTGGGCCGTTTGCATCTGGGCAGGGGCTGACTGGGTTATGGGTGCTCCAAGTTACCTTGTCACCCCTGCTGTCCACACCTCCCGTGCTGCGGGCCTCCCCAAGAACTAAGGCTGGAGAGACACTGCTCACATGGGAGGAAAAAGGAGGAAGGTCTGGGCAGGCAGGAGGCACTCGCTTCCAGCGAGGACCTTATATAGGCTGGAAGGGTGGGCATGGAGGCTGCAGGATGGCCCTCTGCATGCCTGCCTCACAGAAGCCTGGGCTAGCCCCAGGTCCCGTGTCCTCCTCTGCCCCTGCTGTAGCTTCTTGGAAACGGCTGGTGAGGGGTGGCAGGTTTACGTTTCCTGGCTCTCCCAACGCTGAACCCTCACCACTGCAGGTGAGAGGCGCCTTCCCAGCCCAGCGATTAGCCCAAGTCCCAGGGGTCTCCACCCAGGCAGGATGGGCTCTCTGCCACCACCCCATGCTCTGAACTGTGGACGGTTCTGGTCACAATACCACAAACTGGACCCCTCACCACACCAGCCTCCCACTCTGCATTCTGGTTGCCCAGCTCCCCTCAGGCACACAGCCTGAAGAGCATCTCACATCTCCAACATGACTGCACAGCCTCAAGTCCCATGTCAGCAGGGACCCTTGGGTGTCAGCACAGTGATGGTCCCCTGAGAATGCCCAAGACCTGGGAAAGGACAGCTCTCTCTCCAAACCTAGTCTAGCCCAAGGACTGCAGCCACAGAATTGTCTTCCTATTCCTTACTGGAAACCACAGCAGGTTCATGTCCTTCAACCAGAACACCTGCCGAAAAGCCCCAAGATGGCATGGGCCTCACCCCACCCCACAGTCTCTCTGGTCAGAGCCAGGTGGGGCTCCATGAGCTGTGTTTCAAAACTCAAACTTCATCTGGCCTGGACACAGAACAGCTCTCACACAGGGGCACCGGAACCTATCGTAGGGCCGAGGACCAGTACTCCATCAGTGGCCTGTGGCTTGCAGGGTAAGATTGCCAGTCCCCAGAATCATGCTGTCAAGATAGTGCTGGGCAGCAGGAGCTCCCATGACTGAGGCCCATGGCTCTGAGGGAAGGAGCTCCTGCAAATCAATCCCCTGGCCCCAGGCTCCTCACTAGCAGGGTGGGCATCCAAGGACAGCCTCGAGGCCAGCTCTGCCCCAGCCTTGACGTTACACCCGGGGGTGGCCAGCAGACCAAGGCTGGTATGGGGCCACTGTGAGGCACAGGGACTCGGCACTGACCCACAGGTGTTCGTGTGGCCCAAGTCCTGAACCACAGCCTTCACCCAAGACCTGTCGGGCAGGACACCCACGTTCCACTCAGCACAGCCAAGGGTCCAGCACTCACCTGGGAGAAGGCGGGCACGGCCACACTGTAGGGCCTCTGCTTGAAGGTGCCGGCGGTCTGGCTGGGGAAGGCCCGGGAGGATGTGCCATAGTCGGGGGGTGGGATGGCCAGGTCGTCCTTGTCCAAGAGGTTGCCTGTGCTGCTGCTCTTGCCCTGCTGCAGGCTGTGAGATGTGTGGCTCAGGGGCTGGCCAGACGGCTCACCCAGTCCCACAGGCCCTTCTGGGCCCTTCCCTTCTGGCCTCCCTGCCTCCTCCTGGGCCGGTTCACTTGGGACCAGAGGAAGCTGCCACAGTGACTCCCCAGGGGTCAGGATACCTGGCACCCTTGAGAGGGAGATGGGAGGCAGGGGTACGCCCAGCCACAACAGGTTGGCCAACAGCCAGCCCACACCGCACTGACTCCCTCAGCTCCTCTGGATGCCACAGCAGCCCCACCCCACTGGCCTGAGCTGGGCGGCCCTGGAGGTGAAGGAGGAACCAGGGAGCCCATCTGGCTCAGCTGACACACTTACCTCATATGCAACCTGTCACTGCCATCACTGTCCAAGACCCGGGTGTAGGAGAAAGGAAACCAGCCCCTCCTGGAAGAGAGGCTCCAGTCAGTGTTCCACCCGCGGGCCCAGGCAGACAACTGGGCGGCATCCTGCCCCTACCCCCAGACAGCAGACCCACCTCCCACTAGTTCTGCAGCCTGGCTGTGCACCCCCCTGTGGAGGGACAGACGCCTGGCTCTGTGCAGACCAGGGATCTAGGCCATTAGACATGGGCTACCTCTGCCTGTTGAAGCTGTGGGTGTGATCACCTCCACCATGAGGTGGGACCTGGGCAGAGCTGTGCCCCACCTACCACGTACCCCTCACTGCCATGGGTCATGCCTCTAAAACCAGAACCACCACGGGGGCCAGGGGTTGGTGGCTTGCTCCAGGGACCTCCCCTGGCCCGCAGCTACCACTGGGCAGTGGGCCAGAGAACAGCATGGTTTAGACCAGCGATGGCAACGCTCTTAGAGCTGTCAATGGTAACAGCTGGCTGCGGCACAGGTACAGCTGGTTCACCATGACTGGTTTAGACTCTCGCTCCTGTTTACCCTCCACCACAGACACGGTCTCCTTCCTGTCTTGCCCAAAGGCATCTGCACAAAAAACATCCCGAGAAAGGGTAGCCCCTCACTTGCCCGCCTCAGCTGCAGCAAAAGCAAGGCCTTGGCACAGCCTCTCTGTGACAGGTGTGACCCTAGAACTTGATAATGAAAGTGGGGGCTGTTCAGACACAGGCCTTACACGCACCAAGGCTGTGATGTCTGGCGGCCGAGTCCCACTGCCACCTACCACCTGGGAAGCCAGGCACCTGCCCACGGGAAATGACCAGGTCCCTTATGACATGTATGCAGCTGGGGTGCCATGCCCTGTGTCAAATCGAGGGCTGTAGGAAGATTATGGGGCAGTGGGGGCAAAAGCTAATGAAGACCCCTCACCACGGCCACAGTTGCATGTGGGCAAGTCCTTGGGGTCACGCTCATGCTAGAACCACCTATGACCTGATCATCGGGCAGAGCCCAGTGTTGTGAGTGCCACTGCCCCAATGCTCACCATAGGGCCAGGCTACCCAGGACCCGGCCCCTCCAGATGGGCACTCACATCTTGGTCTTCTCACTCTCGCCGTAGTGCCAACCGTCACGAGCCTCGGGCACCAGCAGGGTGATCAGGTCTCCCTCCTTGAAACTCAGCAGGGTGCTGTTGTCGCCAGCCGCGTGGGAGAAAATGGCCTTCACCCGCATGCGGCCATTGCGCTCCAGCCCAGCTGCCATGGAGCTTGAGCGTGGCAAAGTCTTGTTCTCAGCTGCTGGGACAATGGGGTGGGCGTGAGGGGTGGGCCGTGGCAGAGGGGACCTGGGGTAGAGGCCAGGGAGCCTGGAGCCCTCAGACTGGACCCTGGACAGGACGGGAGAAGCTACAGCCTCCCACGCCCATCGGTCTGCCCTGGTCACTGAGCCAACCTGCGGGCGGCCCTGGCCCCACTGCCTTGCCGCGCACACACTGCACACCTATGCATGTGAACTCATGCACACACCTGCACAGCCATACACATGAATGTGCGTGCATGTGCTGCCTCCACTCACTGAACACACAAGCTTCCATGACCTCCCCAACAAGTGTGGCAATGCGAGAGACCCAAACCCAGCACCCGCAGGCCCTTACTGGTGGCGTAGCTGTTCTTCGGGGTCACACTCTTGCGCACAGGGAGTGTGTTGGAATAGGAGTCGCTCAGCTTGCTCTGAGACTGCGGGGGAGACAGGGATTTGGGCTGGGCAGCCTTGCGGTCAGCCCAGGGGTTGTAGTCCTCACTGTCCGGGCCTGCGACGCCATTCATGATGGGCGCGTTCTCCTGAGCAGACATCCGCTGGAGAGAAGAGGAGGCAGGGGCAGGGTGTCGCTGGGGGGCCAGCTCGGGAGAGAACACTCTGACGGGGGCCCTGGGCTCAGCACCCTGGGCCTGCCCTGGGAGGAGGGGCCATTCCCACACCGACGAGCTCCCAGGGGCCCAGGACTCACCCCCACAAATGGCGCCAGCTCAGGGGGCACTGGCAGGGGCTTGGCCCCAGGAATGGGATCCGAGATGACCAGGTTGGACTTGGAAGCTGACAGAGAGCTGGGAAGGATGGAGCCATTGCTGCTGGCCACCTGCTGCATGAGCTGAACAGCACGATCTGGGATCTTGTTGGGATCGGCACAGGCCTGCTGCCACAGTGGCAGCTTCTGGGCCAGCAGCTCTTTGCCCTGCAGGGAGAAGCGAGAGGGGGGAGTCAGGGCTGTCTGAAGGATCCCCACAGTGAGCACAGCCCTGACACTGCTCCCTTGCGTGTGCTCTGAGCCTGACTCGCAAAGGGAAGGTGAATGCTATGCTGCCACATGCTGTGAGGCCGGGGAACATCCGGGAGACCACACCATGGCCGGAGCCTGGTGGGGCCTCCGGGGGACTGGAGGAAGGAGAAATGGGCATGAGGCTCACACATCCAGACACGGGTGGGCAATGACACCAGAGAATGAACCACTAGGGAGGTAGGAGAGGGTGTCACGGTGGGGAAGTACGGGGCTGCTGGGTTTTGGGAATCTATCCCATACACACACCAGAGGACAGGGCTGGGGCCAGTGCTCCTGTCCAACCCGAGGGGTTAAGCAGCCTGGCTTTGCCTCTGCCTCTGGGTACAAGGAAGGCTGCCTGGGATACAGCCAACCACAAAAGCAAGAGGGTGGACAAGGAATGAGGAAGCCACGGTGGGGAACCAACGTCTGCTGTAGGGAGCTCCAAGTGGCAGCAGTCACTGGGATCCAAGCAGCAGCCCCTGCCCCTGGCCAGCAAGCCAAGTGGACTGCAAGGCTGCAGTGCAGTGAAGAATCTGCACTCTCTCCTGGGAGGTGGCTGTGGCTGCGGGACAGGGGCACTGCTCCCCAGCCTTCAGCCCCAGCACAGCATAGCCAGTGCTACAGCCACATACCCAGGTCTGTGCTTTCCTCCCTGACCCCATCGCTGGGCCTAGCTACCACTAGATGGCGCAGCTGCCTGCTACTGGCTGTAGAGCAGAGGCCCTGTCTGTGCACAGGCTGGAGACCTGCTCTGGGACAGGGCTCAAAGGTGGCGTGGTGCCACTCTGACCTGCTTTGCACTTGCCCACAGCTGGAGCAGGCCTGGGCAAGCAGAAAGCTCTGGGGAGGGAGGCATGTGTCTCCCTGGTGCCCCTGGCTGCAGGGACCAGCACGGTGGTTCTGGGTGCGTGCGCGAGTACACCTGTGAGTGTGTGGGGTGTACCTGTGCACCCTGCTAATCCCTGACCTGCTTCACTTGAACACAGCCAGGGCCTCCCTGGCCAGGCTGAGCTGCTGAACCACATCTTGAGTTCCGGAAATGCTCCAGGGACACGATCTGGTCCCAGTGCAGCACCTGCTCACGGACGATGGAGGAACAGGGCCCTGACCCCACCTATTACAGCAGGGAGCCTGTCCCTGGGGGCAACACCAGCAGCCATCTACCCCGCTGAGCTGTGACCCCAGTCCCCTAGGGCCTCCGATGAGGGGTTCACTCCACAGAGAAACCTGGCCACCTGCTCAGCAAGCCTGGGCCCAATACTGGGATGGGCAGCCTTCCAGGGTAGAATCACCCACACCTCAAGTCACTGCGGGACATCTAGCAGGAAATACGGGGCACAGAACATGTGGGAGGCAGGCCAAAGCAGCAAGGAAGGGGCCCTCACCAGCAAGTGGGAGTCTCAGGGATCAAGAAGGAGAAAAGGGTGAAGCTAAGGCCCCGAGCCCCCATGAGGCCAGTGGTTTGAAGGTGCAGAGGCATATGTGTCATCCAGGGAGACCCCCAGGGCCGTGTGGGGAAGAGTGAACCCAAGGGCCAGGATACAGAAGCAAAGGACAAGGGCAGGCTAGGAGGGGTGAGGTGGCCAGTTCCTGAGAGACAGCCAAGCTCTGGTAGTTGCTGGAGACGGGCCAGTGGGGGCCGGTGACATGGCCTCGTCTAGGATGGTAGAGGCCCCTGAGGCTGGGAGCTTTGCCCCGGTAAGTGAGCAGAGACATGGCTGAGGGGCCCTGTCACAAAGGGTAAGTGAAGGCACAGAGCCAACGCTGCCAGGAGGCCAGGTGGAGACCCCGCCCCCAGCAAGGAGTATATGGGCCACTCCCCATCCTATACCAGCCCTGGCCTTGCCAAGACATGGGTGGACTGAGGCCTCAAAACCCACCTGAGGACCTCCTCCCTCGGCAGGTGCTCAGCAGAGCGCCCAAGCGATTCCTGACACGGGTCTTCAGACTCGTGCCTTGGGACCCTGTAACTTCCTGTCAGAGCTCTATCCCCTGGAGTCTCCAAGGGCACGGAGGGGTGGGGGGTCACCCCAGCTTCCTCAGCACTGCAGCACGGGTGGAGTCCTGGCTCTGGCTGTGTGCACGCTGCTGGCTGGTGCCTGCTCACTTTGCCCAGTGGTCCCAGCCCAGAGCAGCAGCCCAGAAGCTGTGCTCACCTTGGAGTGGTAGGCAGCAGAGTTCTTGGCCACGGCACACTGCTTCTCCACCAGGAAACAGAACCTCCTGCGCTCCTCGGTGAGTGCCGTCTTGTAGCCGTCTGACACGTAGTTCTCCAGCTCACCCTGCTTATTGCTGATGGCGTCAATGTACTGGGGGCAGGAGGACAGTGGGGATGAGTAGGGGAAGAATGCACGGGGCTCTGGGTGGTCCTGAGGAAACAGCGGTGTCTGGGCCACTCAGGACAGGCCCATAACCACGTCCCCAGCGGCCACTCCCGTGTGCCTGTCCAAGCCGACCGGTGGAGCCAGGGTCTGCCTCCTGCAGATTTCAGGCCAAGGGGCCAGGCTCTAGGTCTCTCCTGAGGAGGAGAGGAGGCGAGTGTCCTGGTGACAGGCTGGCCCCTCTGTGTGGCCTTACCCACTGCACAGAAGCACTGTGGAGCGCCTTTTGTATGTGTCCCAGTGCCCTGGGCCACGAGGTGGCTGCTTGGTCCTCCTGTGACACCTGATGGTCCTTCAGCTTTCGAGTCTCTGCTCAAGCAGGAGATACTGGGGAGTTACAGTTGGGGACATTGATGACCAAGGGGACCTCAGAGGAGGTTTCTCTGCTGGGCAGGGAAAGCACCTCAGGACCACCCTGCAGGAGACTTATGTCCTTCCCAGGGTGACGCTTGAGAAGTTGAAAGGACAAAACATGGTCACTGAGTGGAAACAGGGCAGGCCGCTTCCTGGACATGCATGGATCACACTGGAGCAACCAGGATGTGCCGGGGGAGTGGACCTCACTGAGCCAAGAGCAAAACTGACCCAGACCCTGACCCTCTGCCTCAGTGCTCTCCCCTGGTGCCTCCAAGGTCGGGGAGGGGGGTGAAAATGGGCCCAAGTACAGTGGCTTTGGGAGCCTCTTGGCTCTTGAAGGTGCCCTGTGCTTAAAATGCCATCAAGGATGAGGTTGGCCACCCAGGTCTGCCAAGCTCACGGGGAACCCCCCAGCATGCATCCAGGGTGTCCTCTCCTCAGAATGAACTCCCTGTGTCCTGGAGTGGACCGTGCCCCACCGCTGACCAGGAGAAGCTTCTGCAGACCCACTTCCTGAGGAGGCCTCTTCCTGCAGGAGCAGGCCTGCCTGCAAGGGCACCTCCTGTCTGACTCACACTGCCTGCAGCTCTGACTCAGTGTGGGTGGGTGGCTGAGCGTGGGCAGTGAGGGTGTAAGCAGCAGGCTGTTCTCTGGGGGCCTCTCCGTGCAGGGCTCAGCTGGATGGCAGGGAGGAGCTCAGCTGGTACAGCCTGGTCCCCAGCCTACCACGTCTGCCTACCAGCCGGCACAAGTGAGCCACTGTCCCACCAAGGCTGCCCCACCTGGTCACTGCACACAGACCCTGCTCCCTCTGCTCCTGCAGCCCTCCCAATTCCACACTGAGCCCCATTCCTCCCCTCTGGCAGGGCAGTTTAAGTGGGCCTCAAAATAGCAGGCACTCCCCCTACCCCTAAAAGCTGGCTGGAGCCACCAGGAATGGGCCAAGGTCTGCTGCAGTGCCACAGGGCCTGCCTGCCTGAGGGATCCAGGGTGGCACTCAGGGAGAGGCTCTAGGGCAGCCCTGAGCAGGCTCTCCAGCAGCGCTGCCCTTGCTGTGATGGCACAGCCACCATCTCCTCCTCCTCCTACTCCCCAACTCCGCTGCTCCAAGAGCTCTTCCTCTGGTTATGCAACATGGGCCTACCGAGGCCGCCTCCTCCTGCTCCCAGAACCTCCCCCTCATTCTGAAACTCCTTCTCCGGGAAGGGGGGAGCAGCCACTGAGATGCGCAGAGCCTCTAGGGCTGTGGCAGGAAGGACGGGAGCAATGGAGGAAGGTACCCGGCACACTGTACCCTGGGCCCCTTTCCTAAGCTTTAGGGTGGGAAGGCCTGGGATGGAGCAGAGCAGGCTGAGGGAGATGGTGAGCTTGCGCCCAAAAAGAGGGGCCCCAAGCCACACACAGCCCTGGCCTGCAGCTGCCCAGAGGCTCCTTTTGCTTGGCTGAGCTAAAAAAAATGGGAAGAGAGGCCAGTGCCAGTCCCCAGGAATATTATTCTCTAACAGGACTTTGGACAGGGGAAAGCCATGCTTGGAACGTTCAGTTACCCTAGGACAGCAGCATAAACCAGGACACAAGGTCCCCTGGGTTCCCTTGCCCCGAGAATAGCACCTTCGAAACTGAGGCCCTGGAGCCAGTGCTGCCCACCCGATCGCTCGTTTCTAGGTTTGTAGGCTGCGGTGCAGCTTCCTATTGAGGTGCTACTCCCTGGGGTGCTGTGCACCGAACTGGGCACTGGCCTCATTAGCAGGGGCTGGGAGGGAGTGGTGCTAACTTTAAGATTTCTACTTAAGAGCCAGAGGAAGGCCGGGAGCCCCTCAGGCCACACCCCGGAGCCCAGTGAGGGGAAAACAGGCAGCCTGTCTGCAGGTGCCCCAAGTCTTCCCTTGCACCCAACTCCTGTAGGTGTCCCCTGAGCCGCCACTGGACAGCCAGCCCAGGCAGGGGCCACAAGGACCAGGACAGAGCCTCTGCGTCCTGCTAGGTTCAGCTGCCCTGAGCTCCTCTGCCTGCTCTGGGGCCACAGCAGAGCTAAGTCTCTGCTGGTGACACGAGGCTGCCACTTCTGTCCAGGAACGAGCGACTTCCCCAGCTTCTTTTAGCGGGTCTCCGACTCCTCATGGAAAAAGGCCACAAGTTCTCTGGGCAGGTCCTGGAAATGTGGGCCGAGTGAGGGGTGTCACCCCACGGAGGGGACAGCGGAGCCCGGGAGAGTGAGGAGGTGGCAGCCAGGTGGACAGGGGTGCCCACGGGGTGGGGGCGTCCGAGCTCTCTGAAGAGTACAGAGGATGACGTGAGGCCTACACCTCGACAGCGTGGAACAGGCCACTCGAAATGGCACTGAGCCTGTCCCCGCCCGCCCGCGCTGCCTCAGCTCCCTGCTTAGCTGGGTGCTATGGTGACGGCACTATAGAAACACCCAGCTGAAAGCATTTAAGACCCACAAAACACTCCACTTAGTCACCCTGGGCTGAACAGCCCTGTAATCTGAGAAGACAGAAGTGATAGAGCGTGTGTCTCCTCTTCTCCCCAGCAAGCCGTGACTCAGAGCGGGGAGGGGTGTTCTAGAACAATCCGAAGCCACAGTGCTTCAGCTGTTTCCCAGACACCTTGGCTGCTCCTGGAGGTCCCCTGCAGCTCACACAAATGAGGATGTAAATCTCCGTCTGCTGTCCCTGAGAACAAGGGCTCCCAAGGGGACAGCTTAGAATCCTGTCAGCTGTGCTGTGTGGGAACAGAAACGAGAACTGGACACCTCACACATTGCCAGGAATCACCAGGGACCTGGCGGCTACAGCCATGGGCTTCCCCAAAGCCTGCTGCCTGGGCCACATAGTGGTGGCCCGGGACCCAGGTCTGCACAAAGCCTTTAAATCTCCCCCCAGACCAAGAGCTCAGGCAAGAGTGGGGCCAGGACTGTGCAGAGGAGCCAGGCATCTTGGCCTCAAGGAGGAATGCCACGGGGTTAAACCATGCTGGGAAGGTCCTATGCTGTCCTGTCCCCAAAGTCATCTGTCAGTGGTATTCAGGTGCTCCAAGGAGTGCCTGGGTTAGACAGGTCATGAGGGTGGGACCGGAGGTGGCCTTAGTGGCTTTGTAAGGAGAGAGACCCAAGCTAGCACGTGTCCTTTCTGTGCTACATGACACGGTCAAGAAGGCCTCATCAGATACAGGCCAGGCACACAGACTCCCAGCCTCCAGCACTGGCCCAGGAGCTAAATAAACCTCCAACCTTTAAAAATCACCTGGTCTCAGCCAGGCGTGGTGGTGCACGCCTGTAATCCCAGCACTCGGGAGGTTGAGGCAGGAGGATTGCTGTGAGTTCAAGACCTGCCTAGGCTACCTAGTGAGTTACAGGTCAGTCTCAACTACACAGTGAGACACTCTCAAAAAAAAAAAAAAATTACCTGGTCTTGGGTATTTAGGTCCAGCAACAGAAAATGTCCTAAGGCAAATGTGTCATAGCAACACCCTTGGGAAGAAGACAGCAGTTCCCCTCTGGAAGGCTGTAGGGATTCTCAAGTACTGGGGTCCCCATGTCGTGGGAAAGGGGCCAAGGGCTTGCATCAAATTGGCAAGGGGTAGCTGTGAGCAACAGGGCCCAAACGCTCACAACCTGCCTACCACATGCCCTGAAGCCCTGCCCAGCCCCAGCTCACCATGAGGAAGCTCGGCCACTTCTGTCTACCCCAGTGAGCTGAACACCCGGCCAAGGTCCCAAGGGCCAAGTGAGGTGGGAGCTATAATGTCTGAGTGGCCCAGGCCCAAGGTTTAGGGCACAGTGCTCTGTCCCCAGCCACCCAGCTGCCGGGGCACACAGAGGTCTGAATGCCTGGGAGGACTTGGCCTTCAGCACCTCACAGTTCTATTTCCTCCTGGTAAGGACCCCAGGCTGATTTCACCCCCGAGAAAGGTGGGGCCCACCTGGTTTCTGGAGTCCATCCATGCTGACTGGTGGGGAAAGCTCTGCCCAAGCCAGAGCCAGCTCAGCTGCCCGCACCTCCTCACACCCCTCAGCGAAGCTCCCAGCCTCTGCTATTATCTCCTTTGAAGACCTAAACTATGGTTATTTCATCTTTGCTTTGTTAATTATACAGCCCTTTAAATAGAATCAATCTCTCCCCTCTCAGACCTCAGTCTGGATGTTTGGGCTGAGAACATGGAAGGGGCACAGAGTTGAATGAAGACCCTGGAGGCACTGAGGCCACTTGACCTCGTGTCACGATGAAAAGGAAAGTGGGTGGTTTCCCAGCTTGGGAGCCCCCCTGCTCCACAGCCCTCTAGCCCCAGACCAGGAGGGCTCCCTCTCCTTACAGGACACATTGGTGAGGGCCACACCTGCACCTTCAATGTCCCTTCCGAGAAGACAGCACAGGTAGCACAGGCAGGGATATTGGTTCACCCCGTAGCAGCCTTGGTCCAGGATGGCCTCAAGGAGCGGGGTGGAGGTACAGGCCTGTGTTCCTGCAGCAGGCCCTCAGATGGGTCAGCAGACACATGGGCTGGGCTGGCCAGATGCCCAGGTGGTCTCTGCCATCTGCCCTTAGGCTGGCAGGGTCCACCCTATGCCT